CCACCCCCACCTCCAGGTCGGAGGGCATGTACCTGCTGCCGGAAGTCACCATGGAGACCCCCTGGACCGCATACAAACGACAATCACTTAGGAAGGAAACTCATTACGGCCTCCAAAGTATCTGTTAGACAAGAGAGAGGCTTAGCCCTAACTCTCAACCTATCAGATCCAGTATAAGGCACCGTAAATTTACCTAACTTACCCTACAGTGGGGATTTCTCATCTATCGCAAAGCTTCAACCAGCGGGCTTATCCGACAATGGCTCATAGATACACATCTGCCGAGAAAGAAAATGGATCCATCTCGCTCAACTTCGGGAGAGACGTACCCCTATCCAAATCCCTGCAAGCAACAGTTTCAGCACTCATAGAGGAAAATAAACTCACGTTGATTGGACGAGTGACAAACCCTGCAGCTCAGAAACCTCAATGGGTGGTCGAATGGCTCTTGCAAGTCTGGAATCTTGACTCAGTAGTGGTGGGACGACCCTTGGGCCCAGATCTGTTCAGCTTTAAGTTTGAATTAGAAGACGCCCTAGCAACCATCCTCCGCAAGTCCCTCTACCACTACAAATGATGGTGCTCATCCTCCAAAGATGGGAACCAATAATCTCCATCACTTACCCATCATTCATCCTATTTTGGGTCAAAATCCACGGAGTCCCTCTTCACTACTGGCAAGAATCTACCTTTATGTCCATCGGAGAAGCTCTAGGCAGGATAGTTGACAAAGACATACCGGAAGGAAGACTTCGCCTGGAAGTCAAATGGCCTCAAACCTCTAGAGATGAAGGTGCCTATTCGTCTTCCCTCGGGAGAAAACTTGTGGCTAACACTCGAGTATGAAAAACTGGAAAAAACACTGTTTCCTCTGTTTTTCCCTCCTCCACGAGGAAAAAGACTGTCACCTTAAACCTGCAGATGCTTTAAGAGAGACCTCAGTCAGGGGGAATAAACCAACAAAATACGATAATCTCCCTAGAGGAAGCTAGAAGGAGGCATCAGCACAGAGCAGGAGACCTTCTACCACCCCAAAGAAAAGAAGACCTCAGCCGAAGGGAACCCTCTAGATCCTTCCACAGAGACACCTCCCATCACGAGAGATCCCAAATCTCTTCTCGCCCTCGCAGAAGCCCTTCTCCACTCAGGTCAAGAGGCATCGAGTCCTGGCTTCATTACCCCTCCCGTGGGGATTTTCATCAAAACCTTAGCAGGGAATATAACCGCCATGATGATAGAAGAACCAACAGAAGCAGATCCTACACCCACCAAAGAGAAGAGACTCCCACTCGGTCAGTCTTTAATCAACCAAACAACAAGGAACCCACCCCTACAGTGGGTAGCCACTCAGAAAAGGGATCAAAAGAGGCGTCACCAAGATTTACCTCTAATGCCCAGGGGAACTTGCACCGTATCTCTCCACAGACATCTCAGAGGACAATAGGGTCCCCACAGCCCTCCACCAAATCCTCCAAGGGAGGACATGCGTTTACCGTCTAATACGGAAAGAGGTAATGAGACTAGCCCACACCAAAGGTGCTCAGCCCTAGACAGAATCTCTCCATAAATTACTTCGACACCCCTCGGAAGGAACAACAGCTCCAGCTTACTCTCTGAGAGACTCCAAGAGATAGAAATACAGTATGATGGCTCGCTAGGGGGACTCCCATCAGAGGCCATCTCACAGGGGGAGAGACTCCACCCAACACTCCGCCTCGGGGGCCCAATACCTACAAAAACGGAAGACTGGTAAACAACCAGTGCGGAAAACAGCTCAGACATCAAAGACAATCTCAAAGAGGAAAACTACGGGACAAAAGCGAAAACTGGCTCAAAGCCCCATCATAGGAGCAAATCGAGGAAAAGATTAACCACGCGGATTACATCAGCCTCGAGAAGACGCCTAATCCAAACAGAAACAAACTTACCTCATCTTGAGGAAACAGGTCAACCCTCGAGAGCCCCCAGGCCACCCCCCAAAGCCCTCTTCCTTAGCCGTTTTGAGCTGAAACTGTCAGGGGATTGGGGCAACCCTTACAGGCCATCGACTGAGGGAACTGCACAACTCCCTCTCCCCCGACATCCTGTTCTTAATGGAAACAAAGAATCAAGATGTCACTGTGCTCCCAGCGCTTCAGTGGATGGGCTACGAGAACCACTTCACCGTCCCTCCAGAAGGTATGAGTGGTGGTCTAGCCCTACTGTAGAAAAAAGAGATTAACATTACCCTCCAGACATCCTCACCAAACCTCATAGACACAAAAGTAACTGCAAAAGGAAAGAATTTCTTCGTCACCTTCATCTATGGACCACCTCAAAGCGGAAACAGAGCCTCCTTCTGGGAATCCATCTCCAGCTTAGGAGAAAACAGAGACACAGCATGGTGCCTAACAGGTGATTTCAACGACATTCTGGAAAACTCAGAAAAGACAGGAGGCCCACCCAGATGCGAAGGCTCCTTCATCCCATTTAGAAATTTTGTCTCCCAAAATGGACTATGGGATATAAAACACTCTGGCAACCCCTTATCCTGGAGGGGTCAACGACATGATCTCCTCATCCATGCTCGCCTCGACAGAGCAATTGCAAGCTGCTCATGGTCGGACCTCTTCCCCTTCGAACACTGCGAATATCTGAGATTCGAGGGATCAGACCATAGACCTTTAATTACATTCCTGGATGGAAATAAAGCAAAGAAGAAAATACCTTTCCGTTTTGATCGACGTCTGAGAACCATGGAAGGAGTAAGAGAAGTAGTAGAGAAAGCTTGGAACCCGGACAAACCTGAAGCAGTAGCAACAAAAATCAATCATTGTAGACGAGACTTGATCAAATGGTCCAAAGACAAACAAAAAAGCAGCATGGAAACCATGAGAAATACTCTTGAGTGTGCCCAGTCAGAAGCCTCTCCGAATACCAAACTTATTGGGGAAATTACAGCGGAGCTCGACAAATCCTACAAGGCAGAAGAACTTTTCTAAAGACAGAGAAGTCGTGTACAATGGCTCCACGGAGGAGACAAAAACTCTGCCTACTTTCATGCTGTCACAAAGGGAAGAAGAGCCTCCAACCGGATCACAGTCATTGAAAATAGCCAGGGTGAAGCAGTCTTTGAAGAACACCTCATCAGCCAGGTATTCTTATCATTCTTCCAACAAATCTTCTCCTCCAACGGCTCCCAGGATTTAACAGCAGTGTCAGAAACTCTTAAAGAAAGCATCACTCCAGAAATGAATGAGAGATTAACAAAATTACCTTCTAATGAGGAAATCAGAGAAGCAGCGTTTTCCATACATGCAGATAAGGCCCCGGGACCTTATGGCTTCTCAGCCGGATTCTACCACTCTTTCTGGAACATAATAGGAGAGGACATCAGCCAGGAAATAAAGAATTTTTTCGCCACAAGCATTATGGAAGCTAACCTGAATGTTATTCAAGTTTGCCTCATCCCAACGACGTCGGCGGCGAAATCACCGACGGAGTACATGCCAATTGCTTTGTGCAATTTCCGCTATAAAATTATTGCTAAGATCATCACAGGGCGGCTTCAACCACTCCTCAACTCCCTGGTCTCGAAACACCAATCAGCTTTCGTTCCAGGCAGAGCCATTGCCGACAATGTTTTAATCACCCACGAAACCTTACACTTTCTAAAACAGTCAAAGACTACAAAAAGATGCTCTATGGTGGTTAAAACGGATATGAACAAGGCTTACGACCGCATCGAATGGGGCTTTCTCCGTACAGTTTTTAAACTGCCTTGGCTTCCACCAAACCTTTGTCAACTGGATCATGGCCTGTGTCACCTCGGTTTCATACGCTTTCCTCATAAACGGCTCTCCCAATGGTACGGTACTCCCCTCTCGTGGACTCAGACAAGGAGATCCCCTCTCCCCTTTCCTTTTCATCCTCTGCACAGAGGTTTTGTCGGGTTTCTGCAGGAATCCCAGCTATCAGGAGCTCTAAAAGGCATACAAGTGGCTCGCCGGAGCCCTCACATCAATCACTTGCTCTTCGCGGATAATACCCTATTCTTCTGTAGGACCAATACTGCATGTTGTAAGGAGCTAGCCCAGATCTTAAAGAAGTACGAGTTCATCTCAGGACAACGCATCAACCTTGACAAATCGTCTATCACTTTCTCCTCCAAAACTCCTCCTAATATAAAAGAAAGAGTTAAACACTCGTTGGGCATTGCAAAAGAAAGAGGATCAGGCAAATATCTAGGCCTACCTGAGAATTTTGGTCGGAAGAAAAAGGATGTTCACCGCTCTTGTTGACAAAGTACGTCAACGGGCGCACAGCTGGACCACCAGATTCCTATCAGGCGCTGGAAAACAGGTTCTCCTTTAAGCAGTCCTCTCAGCTCTTCCCACCTACACGATGTCGTGTTTCTTGCTACCAAAATCCCTTTGTAAACGCCTTCAGTCAATTCTGACAAGATTTTTCTGGGACTCTTCCCTGGACAAGCAGAAGATTGCGTGGATTGCCTGGTCAAAACTCTCACAACCAAAGAGAGCAGGAGGGTCAGGTTTCAGAGAGATAGCAGCGTTTAACACAGCTCTCCTAGCGAAACAGAGCTGGAAAATCCTCAAAAATGGGAACTGCTTACTCGCAAGGGTCTTGCTTGGCAAATACTGTGAAGATCAAAGCTTCATGGAAACTGAATGCCCAGCTGGAGCTTCTCACGGATGGAGAGGAATCCTGGAAGGACGAGAAGTGCTACGCAAAGGCCTGGGATGGATTGTGGGCAACGGTCAAAACATCAATGTATGGTCGGACCCCTGGCTGTCTACAACATCCCCCCAAGCACCCATTGGTCCCCCAACAAAGGAAATGCATCATTAACAGTCCAGGACCTCCTCCACCAATATTCAAATATGTGGAATCTCGAAAAAATCCAAAACCACTTACCTCATTATGAGGATACTATCCGACTTCTTATCCCAAACTCCCTTAAACCCCCGGATACCCGAGTCTGGTTACCTGATAAATCAGGAATGTTCTCAATAAAAACTGGCTACAACCTGCAAAAACGGTTCAATCAGTTTGGTGATGCAGAGTTCAGCTGGTTCCAGTATATTTGGAACCTTAACACTTCGCAAAAAATCAAACATCACTTTTGGAGAGCAACTAACGGAGCCCTTCCGATCGGCTTGAACATCGTCTGGCCAGGTATCGACGCCAACTCTAGCTGCTCACGTTGTGGAGAACAGGAAACAGTCACCCACATTTGGCTGGATTGCCCGTATGCCAAAGCAGTCTGACGACTCGCCCATCTTTCACCAAACCCAGGAGACTTCCCACCGGATATTGACTCGTGAAGCCTCCTGAAATCCCTCCACAAGACAAAGAACCTCCCATGGTCAGGACTTACTGAGACCCCCCTCTTTCCTTGGATCCTCTGGTACCTCTGGACCTCCAGAAACAGTCTGATCTTCGAAAGAACGGACTTTTCACCATCGGATCTAGCCGGAAAAGCCACTCGGGAAGCATCAAGCTGGCCATCAGCAAACAAAGCTCCCCCCCAGATACCCGAGAAGCATCCAAAATCGAAGAAGCTACATCACTCCCCCACGGCAGCGATCTGTTGCACGGATGGGGCTTGGATAGCAAGCTCGAAGCTGGGAGGCATGGGATGGACGATCTCGGATCCCCAAGGAGCTCTGATCATCAGCAACTCTTCGGCGAGACCCTTCATCTCCTCAGCTCTGGTAGCCGAAGCTCTGGCGATCTTAGCGGCCCTCCACAAAGCCCTCTCGGCGAATATACGGGATCTACATATACAATCGGACTCGGAAGTCCTCATCAACATCCTGCATGCAAGAACGGAGCAGACAGAGATAGCAGGCATCATGATCGACATCTGATGCCTTGTTCCTCTCTTCTCCTCCCTATCTTTTCGTTTCATTCCCTGATCTGCAAATATTGTCGCAAACGGTCTGGCAAAAACAGGCCTCTATCGTTTAAGCCCAATGGGCTTTGTGTAAAACTCTTGTTAAAGCTCTTTAATATCACTCCTTTGTCCAAAAAAAAAAAAAAAATAGAAACTAACCAGTACATAAATAAACCTCCTCGACTAAACAAAAATCAAGTAGCACGATTAAACAGTTACCCATAAGTTAAAATACTGAATGTCAACGAGACATATACGAACTTAGTAAGCTCATACCCTTTCTTTCATATAGTAGTCAACGTTACAAAATAAAAGTACAATGGATGGTAAAGCACAATGCACTAAGTGATTTAAACATAAAATAAAGGTCTTACACAACAAACATCAATAAAGTTTAAACCTTAAACCCATTGATACATATACTTACTTTTCAAAACCTGAGCTCTCGTAGAAACAATCTTTTTGGTGAACTCAGCCGCATATTCACCAACTTCCTCGATTTTCTCTGTAAAACCCTCTACGTTCCTCATGATGTCTTGCATCACAAGTCTCGTGGCCTCCTCCTCTTCTTCTCTTTCCAGAGCAAAGTCCACATGCTCTCCTGTTTTACAATGATTCTTGCAAATTTTGAAATATGAGCGAAAGTCCTAGATGATAGATAATTTGACATCTAACATATATTAAACAGGAAATATTATTGGCTTATATGTCATTATTTCAGAATTTTAAATTTTTAAAATTTTAATAATTGTTAAAAACTTAAATAATTTATTCTTGCAACCAAACAATAACTTTTCTAATTATTTATTTTTAATTGCATTTAATGTTTTAAAAATCTGCAATTAATATTTAAGTTTTCTGTATATAATTTAAGCAATTAAATTTAAATAAATATGATAGAAAATTTAAGTGAATCTTTGTTTTTTTATAAAGTATATAACATATATTAAACAGGAAGCATTAACTTAGGTTCCATTATCTCTTTTTCTAATATTTTTATTGATTTATTTTTGTGTGCTATCTTTATTACCAAACACTTTATTTTAAATTACTTAAATTAATTAAATCAAATTTAAATCGAACCAATCACAAATAATTTGATAATTTTATTAGTTTAGTAAATTAAATTAATTACCAGTTTTATTAATGGAAATAAAAATTATTTCAGTTTTTTAGATCTACGAGTATTTATTGTTTTGCAACAGCTTTGATACACATATTATACAAACGGAGAAAAAATATTATTTTTTGAAACTTCGGATGAAAGTAAATGTAAATCTCGCTTTGTATAAGTTTAAATTAAAAACGAAAATAACTAAATTTTTTTAAAATCTCGACTGAACATTTTTAGATACCCAAATATTTTTCAAAACTTGATAAATTATAAAATTTCTCTTAAATATTTTTACAAATATTACCCCACACAAATGTGCGGGTAGTAACTTAGTTACTTTTAAATAACATGAGTATAGGAAATTATTGAAATTTAAGGAATCAAAAAAATCTCACCAGAAAATAAACATAATTAATTAAACCACCTTTTCATAGTTTTCTCATTTCAATTCCTGGGCAATGTCCTAAAGTACTCATTCACTACTAATGATCTTCAATCTGGTTTGGTTGTTGGAATATATAACCAATGTTAATTTTTTGGATAAATTAACCAATATTAATTTTAAAAAAGAAATTAACCAATACATAAATCAACCTCTTCGACTAAACAAAAATCAAGTACCACGATTAAACAGTCACCCATAAGTTTAAATACTGAATATCAACCGACATGTATGAACTTGGTACAAATTCTTTATGACAAGAAAGGTTTTAATGCTTTAGTTTAGCTTTGTAGTGTGATTTCCTTTGACCCTGTTTGACTGTATATTGTTTAACCATTTCTATTGCAATCCATACGGAAGAAAAAAGAAACTATTAGAGTAAAAAACACCCTGATATCCGAAAAACAGAAATCATTTTCTCCTATTAAATAGAAACCAGAAATTTCAATAGCACGATCACGATTAAACAAAAATCTCAGTAGATTAAACTGAAATCTCAGTCATCCAATGAATGAATTTAGTAGCTTTAAAATTTTGTGCTATGTTCTCTGTTTTTTGGTCATATTAGGTGGAGATGGAGTGTCAAAACGAATTATTGAGAGATTCACGGAATTTTGATGGTATGTGAGCCGAAGATTCTGAAAGCCGCATAGAATAATTGCTCCGAGAAGTACACCAATTTATGACCAATAGATAATTGGTTGTTGGAATATATAGTCAATGTTAATATTTTTTTTGGATAAAGTAACTAATATTAATTCGAAAACAGAAATTAACCAATACATAAATAACCTCCTCGACTAAACAAAAATTAAGTAGCACGATTAAACAGTCACCCATAAGTTAAAATACTGAATGTCAACCAGACATGTACGAACTTAGTAAGCTCATACCCTTTCTTGGTTCCCTAATTAAGTTAATGTCATTTAGCTTGGTTGGTCTAGTGTGTGTAATTCTTGTCACTGGTATAGATGTTTCCTTATGGTTTGAGATTGAGTGGGCAATGCTCATGATTCCTTTTCCTCAGGTTGTTTGTTTATTTGTAATGAGTTCTCCATTACTCTTGCGTTTCTTTTGTTCCTTGGTATAATACTTGGCTGTATTGTAATTGCAGGGAGCTTGCTAAAAATTTTCTTGTGTCTGGAACTGCTTCAGGGAGCTTGCAATGTTTCAAGCCAGATATGGTTTCTCCACTAGAAACTTGATCATTATGTTACGATAAGATTGCCTCCAATGCAAAATTCTTAAAATTACCACAGTTATGCGCTGAGGTTTAGTAGATTTAAGGCTCAGTGTCGTTATGTATAAGAGTAGAATCTTGAATTGGTGTGAAATTATGGCTCCTAGGAATCACAACAGCAACTAATTTTCTCTTGGATATCTTCAGTTGTCTCCTTACACGTAATCCCAACAATATTACTTTATCTTGAGGTATATATATTTGTTCGAATGAGGTACTTAAACACCAGTTCTTTCATATAGTAGTCAAAATAAAAGTACAATGGATGGTAAAGCACAATGCACTAAATGATTTAAACATAAAATAAAGGTCTTACACACAAACATCAATCAAGATACATATACTTACTTTTCCCACATTGAATTTTTGAGGTGTTCAAAAACCTGAGCTCTCGTAGAAACAATCTTTTTGGTGAACTCAGCCGCATATTCACCAACTTCCTCGATTTTCTCAGTAAAACCCTCTACGTTCCTCATGATGTCTTGCATCACAAGTCTCGTGGCCTCCTCCTCTTCTTCTCTTTCCAGAGCAAAGTCCACATGCTCTAAAATATCCGAGATCCTCCCTCTTAGTTTATCGACTTGGGAATTTATGGTTTCCGTCGCTCCGTTGTTGTATTTCGTACTCGTTTCCGTCGATGTAAGCAAATGTTTGTATGTCTTCACAGTTTTCTCGTACTTGTTCAACATCTCGTCGATCCATACTCGGCTAGTTTGCATTCGTGGGGACGCTATCGCCAATTGAGTTCGAGCCATTTGACCAATCTGAGGACCTCCAGGACTTATCATTGCGAGTGCAACAAGAACAGAGGCCACACCCCCTAAAACCACATACGACCAATTCTTCAATTTCTCAGCATTCTTCAGTTTCTTATCAAGATTTAGTCTCTGCTCACACAACACCTCCAGAAGCTTAACCTGCCGGTTGGCGACAGACTTGTAATGAGCAGCGAACTCTTCACCAAGAGGATCTCCCGTGGCTTCAAACTTATTCAGCACCTCTAACGTTTTCGCATACTTCTTCTTCCTTCCTCCCACATCCGTGTCCTCCGACTCTGCTTCAAACTGTTTCACCGCAACTCGAATGATATGCTGGCTATTTTTTGCACTCTCAACGAAATTAGCCACGCTATTGAGTAAATTTAAGGTCTCGGCGGTATTTTCTAAATACATATCAACCAAAGAACTAACCAAAGAACGTAGTTCTTTGTTCTTACCCACATCTTTGATGATTTCAAATATGATATCTACTATATTCTCGCCTGTTTCGAAGAGAAACTTGAAGAGATTCGTGATTAAGTCAAAGGGTAGTTGTTGAGTCGCGGTTTGAGCGGAGCTGGTCATATTGTTGGTGAAGCGAAGAATCAAAGGAAGAGATTTATTGGAGCTATAATTAATCTGAAAGATAGAAAAAAAAATCAAGATAAGGAAGAGGTTTGCACGCACCAAGATTACGTTAACATAGGCATTATGAGAAAATTAGCTTAAATGTGCTTATATATATTCCAGTAATACTTAGGTTTGAACATGTATTCTACCGTTTCTCTCATACAACACAATTTTCAAAATATCATGG